GTATTGCTATATTCTTTGTTATGTTATGTATTGCTATATTCTTTGTTATGTTATGTATTGCTATATTCTGTGTTATGTTATGTATTGCTATATTCTGTGTTATATTATATATTGCTATATTCTGTGTTATGTTATGTATTGCTATATTCTGTGTTGTTATGAATTGCTATATTCTATTATGTTATGTATTGCTACATCCTGTTATGTTATGTATTGCTATATTCTGTGTTATGCATTGCTATATTCCATGTTATGTTATGTATTGCTATATACTGTGTTATGCTATGTATTGCTATATTCTATGTTATGTTATGTATTGCTATATTCTGTGTTATGTTATGTATTGCTATATTCTGTGTTATGTTATGAATTGCTATATTCTGTGTTATGTTATATATTGCTATATTCTGTGTTATATTATGTATTGCTATATTCTGTGTTATGTTATGAATTGCTATATTCTGTATTATATTATGTATTGCTATATTCTGTTATGTTATATATTGCTATATTCTGTGTTATGTTATATATTGCTATATTCTATGTTATGCTATGTATTGCTATATTCTATGTTACGTTATGCATTGCTATATTCTGTGTTACGTTACATATTGCTATATTCTGTGTTGTATGTATTGCTAAATTCTATGTTATATTATGTATTGCTATATTCTGTGTTATGTTATGAATTGCTATATTCTGTGTTGTATGTATTGCTAAATTCTATGTTATATTATGTATTGCTATATTCTGTGTTATGTTATGTATTGCTATATTCTGTTATGTTATGTATTGCTATATTCTGTGTTATGTTATGAATTGCTATATTATGTATTATGTATTGCTATATTCTATGTTATGTTATGTATTGCTATATTCTATGTTATGTTATGTATTGCTATATTCTGTGTTATGTTATGTATTGCTATATTCCGTGTTATGTTATGTATTGCTATATTCTGTGTTATGTTATGTATTGCTATATTCTGTGTTATGTTATGTATTGCTATATTCTGTTATGTTATGTATTGCTATATTCTATGTTACGTTATGTATTGCTATATTCTGTTATGTTATGTATTGCTATATTCTGTGTTATGTATTGCTATATTCTGTGTTATATTATGTATCGCTATATTCTGTGTTATGTTATGTATTGCTATATTCTGTGTTGTTATGTATTGCTATATTCTCTGTTATGTTATGTATTGCTATATTCTGTGTTATATTATGTATCGCTATATTCTGTGTTATATTATGTATCGCTATATTCTGTGTTATGTTATGTATTGCTATATTCTGTGTTACGTTATGTATTGCTATATTCTGTGTTATGTTATGTATTGCTATATTCTGTTATGTTATGTATTGCTATATTCTGTTATGTTATGTATTGCTATATTCTATGTTATGATTTCTATTGCTATGTTCTGTAATGTTATACATTGCTATAGTCTATCATGTTACGTTTTCTTATGTTTTGATATATTCTATGTTATGATGTTCTGTAATGTTATACATTGCTATATTCTATGTAATGACATGCCGGAGTGTACAGCAGTGTACTCTAGTTCCTGAAGTACCGACGTATCGTGGCCCCTGGCAGATAAAGCTATTGAAGAAGAATGACACTGTTTTAAAGGGAGAGCTCCGGTAAGTATCCCTAACTACAGCCTCACAGTGACTCGCGGCACGCTGTGCAGGGATACAATCTTCAGGGATGTTTGTAAAACTTGTAATGAAACTTTAAGGTGACAAAGCTACGTTAAAGAGTCCAAACTATTCCAAACAATATTTATTTTCCTTTATATTGACCGATGGGGAATATCTAATAATTAATACCCTGGAATAAAGTTTTAACCTTACCTGACATTGAGCGACGGGCAAAGCCCCCGGTGCTGATCTTCACACATCATCCTGATGTCATGGCAGCAATCAATGTGATTGGACATTCTCATAGAGATCCCTGTGATTGGACATTCTCATAGAGATCCCTGTGATTGGACATTCTCATAGAGATCCCTGTGATTGGACATTCTCATAGAGATCCTTGTGATTGGACATTCTCATAGAGATCCCTGTGATTGGACATTCTCATAGAGATCCCTGTGATCGGACATTTTCATAGAGAACCCTGTGATTGGACATTCTCATAGAGATCCCTGTGATTGGACATTCTCATCGAGATCCCTGTGATTGGACATTCTCATAGAGATCCCTGTGATTGGACATTCTCATAGAGATCCCTGTGATTGGACATTCTCATAGAGATCCTTGTGATTGGACATTCTCATAGAGATCCCTGTGATCGGACATTCTCATAGAGATCCCTGTGATCGGACATTTTCATAGAGAACCCTGTGATCGGACATTCTCATAGAGATCCCTGTGATTGGACATTCTCATAGAGATCCCTGTGATTGGACATTCTCTTAGAGATCCCTGTGATTGGACATTCTCATAGAGATCCCTGTGAGTGGACATTCTCATAGAGATCCCTGTGATTGGACATTCTCATAGAGATCCCTGTGATTGGACATTCTCATAGAGATCCCTGTGATTGGACATTCTCATCGACATCCCTGTGATCGGACATTCTCATAGAGAACCCTGTGATTGGACATTCTCATAGAGAACCCTGTGATTGGACATTCTCATAGAGATCCCTGTGATCGGACATTCTCATAGAGATCCCTGTGATTGGACATTCTCATCGACATCCCTGTGATCGGACATTCTCATAGAGAACCCTGTGATTGGACATTCTCATAGAGAACCCTGTGATTGGACATTCTCATAGAGATCCCTGTGATTGGACATTCTCATAGAGAACCCTGTGATTGGACATTCTCATAGAGAACCCTGTGAGTGGACATTCTCATAGAGAACCCTGTGATCGGACATTCTCATAGAGATCCCTGTGATTGGACATTCTCATAGAGATCCCTGTGATCGGACATTCTCATAGAGAACCCTGTGATTGGACATTCTCATCGAGATCCCTGTGATCGGACATTCTCATAGAGAACCCTGTGATTGGACATTCTCATAGAGACCCCTGTGATTGGACATTCTCATAGAGAACCCTGTGATTGGACATTCTCATAGAGATCCCTGTGAGTGGACATTCTCATAGAGAACCCTGTGAGTGGACATTCTCATCGAGATCCCTGTGATTGGACATTCTCATAGAGAACACTGTGAATGGACATTCTCATCGAGATCCCTGTGAATTAACTGTTTTGCTGGCTCAGAGCATATGCGCACAATCTGAGCTGACAAGGGGATAGAGGGAGAAGGTGCGGGAAGGATATTCAATACATTTTTTTTTTTAAACCGATTTATGTAAGGAGGGAGGCCAGGGGAGCACACAGCAGGAGAAAGAACATTCTTAACCTTGCATGTACTCTGCCTGCAAGGTACAAAAGTAATACGTCTGTCGCCAGCGAGCCGTGCACACTGACAACAGGTGTAAAATATACACAGAATTGACATTAAGCAGCCTGGTACCTGGCACGTAAGTGCAAATACCTGTGAATGTACAGCGTTTAAAGCAGAAACACCGCGCATCCAGTCTCCTACCACCATGACCACTTCAAATCACGGACGCGGTCATGGTGGTTGGAGAAGCCCTCTAAGAAACTGACTGGTTATTTAAATAAACAAGTTTCATTGATGTTTAATTTGTAGGATTAATAATACATATTTGCTTTCTCTTTGTTATTGTCTCTGGGCATGCATTCTGAAGGGACGCTCTGCGCACAGCATTAGCTGAGGTACACGCTGTGGTTTGTGCAGGAGCCACGAACTCCACCACCGATTTGCTGAAACTGCAGTTTGTAATAAATCCCTGTTGACGGAGATCGTTATAACAAGGAATATAGCCGTGGGCAGCGGAGATATACAGCCAAGGATGTAGTTCACATTTCCCACCAGCAGGAGGCAATCCAAACCCTCAGACGAAACGGACAGTCCTGTGAAATGTCGGCAGCTGATAACGTACAGCAGATAAAGCTATTGAAGAAGAATGACACTGGTTGCAAGGGAGAGCTCCGGTAAGTATCCCTACCTACAGCCTCACAGTGACTCGGGGCACGCTGTGCAGGGATACCATCTTCAGGGATGTTTGTAAAACTTGTAATGAAACTTTAAGGTGACAAAGCTACGTTAAAGAGTCCAAACTATTCCAAACAATATTTATTTTCCTTTATATTGACCGATGGGGAATATCTAATAATTAATACCCTGGAATAAAGTTTTAACCTTACCTGACATTGAGCGACGGGCAAAGCCCCCGGTGCTGATCTTCACACATCATCCTGATGTCATGGCAGCAATCACTGTGATTGGACATTCTCATAGAGATCCTTGTGATTGGACATTCTCATAGAGATCCCTGTGATTGGACATTCTCATAGAGATCCCTGTGATTGGACATTCTCATAGAGAACCCTGTGATTGGACATTCTCATAGAGATCCCTGTGAATGGACATTCTCATAGAGATCCCTGTGATTGGACATTCTCATAGAGATCCCTGTGATTGCACATTCTCATATGGAAACCTGTGAGTCGAACTTCTTATAGAGATCCCTGAGATTGGACATTTTCATAGAGATCACTGTGAATGGACATTCTCATCGAGATCCCTGTGATTGGACATTCTTATAGAGATCCCTGTGATTGGACATTCTCATAGAGACCCCTGTGAGTGGACATTCTCATCGAAAACCCTGTGATTGGACCTTTTCATAGAGATCCCTGTGATTGGACATTCTCATCGAGATCCCTGTGATTGGACCTTTTCATAGAGATCCCTGTGATTGGACATTCTCATAGAGAACCCTGTGAGTGCACACTCTCATAGAGACCCCTGTGATTGGACATTCTCATCGAGA